AACCCATTCATCCCAATTTTTATTCCAACCACCATAACATATAAAGTATTTCACTCGTTTGTCCTTTATGGCAGCCTTTACGTACTTTGCTTCATAAAGAGACCCAGGAAAGCACAGCACTTATCCACCTATTTTGTTTCCTTGACTTCTTCAGCAAAAACGTCAACTAGACTAAAGCCCTTTGAATTCCTCCTGGCATTGAGGCTTGGGGTCTTGCTTGAGAACCATTTATTCGCTGCCTTCTCCTTCTGTCACACCAGACTACCTCCTCTACTCTCTACCCCACCCAACTTTTGGAATCTAAATATTAAGAACAGCTTTTTAAGATCTTCTATTTCTACTGCGTATTCAATGAATAAATCCATTTTATAATTCATCTTAAACTTTCATGAAAGAAATCATTTACTTTTTTTTTGTCTTTGTGAGACAAGGTCTCTCTGTAGCCCCAGCTGACCTGATTTTAAGTTTTAATTTACATTTTAATTATTTACTCTATCTATTACATGTACTTTCAGTTTTTGGAAAACCTTCAAAATAAGGTACTTGGAGGCCAGGCATGGTGACACACGCCTTTAGTCCCAGTACATGCGAGGCAGAGGCAGGTGGATCTCTGTGAGTTTGAAGTCAACACAGTGAGTTCCAGGCTAGCCAGGAACACATACACCCTGTCTCAAAAAATATTTTGGATAAAAAGCCTCCCCAAATATTACAAAGATACTTTTAATTAATAACCAAAGACTGCTAGAATTCCCTTAATAAGGTTAAGGATATGTTAGAGCTGATTTTTCAGGAGAGAAAACAGCAGTTTACCGAGACTGAATAAAGCATACAGGGTGAAGCTCACGCCTCTGTAGAAAATGACAGTGTAGTTCATAGATGACTATGAGAACATTGTATGCAGCATTTGTTTTTAATTATCCCCCGTGCAGTTACTCCTCCAGTCACCCTCTGATGCTGGGGACGCAGCTGGTGAATCAGGAGAGAGCCCCATGCAGCCAGTTCACTAATCAGAAATCAGCTCCACAAAAGTCTGAGGAGGAAATGCCTCCCTAGCCATAAAAGTGAATGGGAAAAAAAAATATGAGCTAAATTTTTTATTAGAATCAAGCACGGCAATTTGCTAAAACAGCTTGAGATTAGCAGTGTTTACAAGCTTCTTTGCTGGCAATGAACTCCGCACAGAAATGATTGTCTGAGATAGTTGATTTATTTGTTCATTTATTTATAATTCACTGCTTCACTTACATTTTGTTTTTAATTCTTCATAATTTTCACGTATGGAGAGAAGTCCATCATTAATTGAAGATGAGAGCAGGAGGGTCTAAAGTATCATGGGGGAGCAGTAGATGAGGGATTTGCACCTGGGTAGGAGAGTCTAATTTAAATCTTGCACAAGAGCTGGACATTGTGTCTCTCCATTCAGGAGAACCCGCCAGGTTTCAGCTGAAAATGGCAATGGTCTAGCTGCCCCTCAGCTCATTGCTGAAGGTGGATCATGGTGATTGCTACAGAGTACTTTGGAAAATATTTCCCAAGTTCACCTTTGACTCAGCCAGCCCCCACTAGGTCCCTGACCTCAAAGTTGCAGACCTACAAACTGTTGCACAACCTGTGCTAACGTGCCTCCTTTGGAGCAGTAGAGCAAATGTAGTAAACAGTTGAGGACTAGGGGTGAAGGACATAGGGGTACTCATTAAACTATTCCTGAAATTTCTCTTATGTCTGAACTTTTCAAAAATAAAAATTTAGGAGGAGAAATAAATATAATTTGGTCAAAAAACAAAAATAGGTTACTTTTTTATCTCATTTGGGAGGGAGGAGATAAAGGGCATGATGGTTAATGCAAAAAATTTTTAATTCTTCAGACAACTGATGGGTATACTTCAAAAAAATTCAAAGTCCAACTTAGAGAATCACATAAGCCCCAAAGGCAGTGTAATAGAGTCCTGATTTTAACCTTCGGAGACATGTTAAACCCAAGTCCTTCCTTACACATAGGCAGTGGGCCATCTATGAAGTCAGGACAATTTCAAGGATGACTGCCTGCTTAACAATGCCTTTCATCATCATTTTAATAAAAAGGTGTTAGATAAAAAAGATTTTTAAAAAAGCCTTTGGTAAATACAAACACAGCTTGTAACAGTAACTCCAAAAGTGAGCCAGTGATCAGAAACTCTTGGGGCAATTTATTTAAAAGCACGTAATCTTTGTAACAGAGACTCTCATGTAAAAAATCCAGATGAGTACTTAGAAATTGCTACTTTTAAAAAACTCTGCAGATTTAGATAACCGTCATACAGGATGTTAAATATGCTCTGACCAAACAAAACACAAGCCAAACTTCTGCTGCCCGTGCATCATTCTTACCCATAATTCTGCCCCAAGTGGAGATCTGTGATCAGCTGAAAAGATGATTTCTTAATTACATGGATTAGCTGTTTCCCTTTGTTCTTAAATGTAGATCTAGGAGTTTATGTCCCAGGAGCACGCATACATACCCTTGTCGGTTGATTGTATATGTTCAACCATGATTGTATGCTAATAGATTTTTCTCATGATATGGCATGGGATTAACCAGTTGATTAGCTTTAGCTAATTTTATGGTATCTTCAGGAAGTCATAGTTAAATATTCTTTTCGGTGCTCTTTTACATATGCAAAACTATAATGCTTAGATAGGCAAAATCACAGATGTAGCATTTCTTACCAAATGATACTTCAGGAGAGCTTACTTCTAAATAGATTTGCCTTTGACAGGTAGGTTACCCAGGAGGAATCTGCTTCTGCTGTTCAGGCTCTGAGAACTGACCATCAGATCAGGTGTTTACCTTAGTGGTTCTAATCTGTGGCTCAGAGAGAGAACAAAGGTCTGAGGACTGCCCTTTTCCAACCCCCATCGCTCACTGGACTTATGTACTCTCAAAAGTTCTACCTCTAACATTCTGTATATTGAATTTCCATGTGAGTCTTTATTGGAAAATGACCTGTATATAAAACAGATATATCCATGCCCTTGATAATTCTTGGGGTTTATTCATTCAATATTTATGAAATTATAAGCTGTTAAAGCTAGAATCAAGTTGAAGAAGAGCTTATCAGTATAAAATAAAACAAAAACCAGACCAATTATTGACATTCATTGATAAAATGTAACAAATTTCCCAAGGCTTTCAGCAAGTTTTGAGTACCAACAGCTGATTTGAGGTTTCAAATGAACGTCACTTTGTCAAGTGGTGTTGGAGAAAATAAGCTGTTGACAATGAGAAAGCACCACATGAAAGGGCCTGGCCACTGTCAGCAGCACTGCCGTGATGCAGGAGGGCAGGGACGCCTTCTGGACCCCAGGGGAGGGATTATTGGATCATCAAAGCCATTCTATTTTTTTACATTTTTTGAGAAAATCACACAATTTTTTCTATACTGGCTGCAGTCTTTTATATTCTCCTTAACAACACAGTGATAGCAGTCATATGGGGAGACATGGGAAGTCTTTTTGATGAATATGAAGTTACAGTAATGAGTCAGTTCTGGAAATCTCTTGTATAATGTAGTGTCTGCCAACAGCAGTACAGAACTGTATATTTAAAATCCTGAAGAGGGTTCATCTCATGTCAAATATTTGTAATTGAAGACAACAAAACAAAGGGCTACTAGGAAACTTCAGGCAGTGAAGGATGCCTTTTACATTTGGAGTGTGGTAATATTCCACAAGGATGTGTGTGTGTGTGTATGTGTGTGTGTGTGTGTGTGTGTGTAGTACATAAATTTAGTTCTACTTTGACTATGCACATGTATATGCAGATAGGTTTGTTTTGTTTTGTGTGTATGCCTTGTTTATTTGTTTGGCAGCACTGGGCATCAAACTAGGTGGGGTTTTTTGGGAGGGGGGTTGCTTATATTGATATGCAAATAGTTCAACAAGACCATTGAAAAACTAATGTGGGATTGGAGAGCTGGCTCAGCAGTTAAGAGGCACTGGCTGTTCTTGCAGAGGACCTGGGTTCAATTCCCAGCATTTACCTGTTGGCTAACAACCATCCATAACTCCAGTCCCTGGGGAATCCAATGCCTTTTTCTGACCTCCTCTGGCATTCCATGACATGGGTGCACTTACACACATGTAGGCAATATTCTCATACACGTAAAATAAAAAAAAAGAAAGCAAAAAACAATGCTTAAGGGCTTAATACATCCTGGCTATCTGAAAGCCTATTGTGACAAAAGCGTAGGCATGAGGTAAGAAGTGGTAACAAGAGCAAATAATGACCATTTCTACGTCCAGCTACGGGATTTGGGCTTAAGGCAGGAGGACACCCATAGCAAGGAGCTTTCTTTAAGCAGGCAGGTAACTTGAGCAGAGTTGTCTGTTTTCAGGAGAGCACAACAGATGTCAGAGTGGCAGGGCTGTGGTGGCATACGCTGCAGGGGACAGAATCTGGAGGAGTGAGACTGGCAAAGATGAGGCCAAGGTGAGAACGCACTAAGAGAGAGGTAAAGTTTCTAAGAAAGGAGTTAGCAATCTGCCTAGATAAAACGATTCAGAGGATGAGCCTCAGGACACTAAGTTCCAGGTAAACAGGACAGACAACCCATCTGACAATAATACAGATAACCCAGGAAAGGAAGATTGAATTGAGGCTCACTGAAGAAATGCTGAGATGATGGTACCAAGCTCACGGGGAGAAGTACAAAGAACCCTATTTCCGCATGTATTCCAGTGTGTGAAAAAGAAAACTATAATTTAGGGCAATAGGCAGTTTTTGCTTCCATTTCATCATTTCCTTTAAGAAACACACAATGAAGACTTAATTGTTTTCTTGGACTTTCTGAGCTTGTGGTCTTCTTGAGGTGTAAGTAGTAATTTTTCTATGGTACAGAAGACTTTTGACCTTTCAAATTTTCAATACCATCTCTTCAGATATTTGAGATTATAAATACTTTTCTATCTTACAGGTTCAAATCCTAACTTGCAACGTGGATCACAAAATAAGAAAACATCAATTTATGACAACAAAGACTAGTTTTATTAATGTCTGTTTGAAAGATTTTTGTGACATATCTTACATAAATAAATAGGATTTTAAAAGTAAACTTATGAATATTCGTTTTTAGTTTGCATAACTGCTTGTCTACAAGCAGAGATGGTTCTCAATGTGAAAAAATTTCAAAATCAGCTAGAATCAACTCACTCTATCCCTTAATTCTTTTCATTAGTTGTTTGGAGGAAAGATAGGTGAATAATACAAAGGAAAACTGTATGCTGTTTTTAAGATCTTTATCTTGTACCTTTCTCCCAAAGGACACACTCAACCATTGTTTTTGTTCTAGTGGATATAATATATCAAAGAAAATTTCAATAACACAATGTAAAAAATGTCACACAAAGAAGAATAAAACAGGTTTTGAGGACTACTGCTGTGGGAAGAAAGGCCTGATCTTCATAGACATCTTCCTCATCGAATACCATGATCCCTTCCAGTTCATCCACACCACACCATCATCTGTGCCATGCTTGGCCATGTCCCAGCTGTAAACCCCACCCCAGTAGTATCTGCCGTTTGGATTGGCTGCGTGGCATCTGTTATACCACCATCCACCACCATCCTCTTTAGAGCATTGCATTCTTGGATCTGTAGATAACCTGAAAGAAAATGGGGTTGGGGTTAATAGACACAGAACTAGAGTTCCCACATGAAAGTACTATACTCAGTTGTACTTGGTACTCTTTCCCTTGAGTCCCTTACATAAAGTGTCACTATTGTACCAAAGTCCTTCTCGGTCCCATACACAGCAAGAAGGGGAAATGGCTGGACCTATGTGGCCTATTCATGAAGGCCTTACATTGGTTACCTTATACCGAAATTACTTTTCAGATAGTTTGGTATTAGAGAACCTGAGAAAATGGTAGTTTTTAGTAGATACATTAATAAACATACAGATATTTATATAAATGTTCAAAATTCAAAAGTTGTATAGTCTAATTCTAGTTCTATCTCTGGTAGTTGTGTAACTTTGGGGAAATTACTTAATTTCTCCAACTTTCATTTGAAAACTAAGGATGATGAAATCTGCTTTACAGTTGGAATGCTTTCAAGTGCTATGTAAGGAGTTCTGGATAGTAGCTGACAGATGCATATTAAATGCCGCCCCCCCATGACAGGAATTCTGCTAGTGCTGAATAATAATACTAGTGGGGACTTTCCAACAGGAGTGAAGAATCCAATGCTTACCAGCCATCATTGTCTCTGTCGTATGTGCTGAAGAACATGCCATTGTGAATGGTCATGGTTCTGTTTTCTCCCACCAGCTGAGATGCTCCATCCATGAGTGCATTGCCAGCTGTCCCTCTGTACTTATCCACTGAGACTTGGTACTTGTTGGTCTCATCCTGTACCGTGAAGCCTCCGTAGTGAGCCTTCACCTTATCTCCTTTCCAGTCCTCCATTTCGATCAGAAGTTCGGTGGGTCCCATCCGAGTAATCTGGCTAATCTTATCGTTCCCAAGCCAGTACTCACCTAGAGGGAAATGAATGTAAAGTCTCACCACAAAGAAAGGATATGGAAACCAAGCACTTCTCTTCCCCCCAAACTGTAGCTTCTGCATTACAAAAGCAAACACCACCAACAGCAAAACTACAACAACAAAAAAAAATTTTTAAGGGCTGGAGAAATGACTCCGCAGTTAAGAGCACTGGCTGCTCTTGGAGAGGACCTGGGTTTGAATCTGAGCACCCATATGGTGGCTAACAACTGTCCCTAACTTCAGTTACAGGAAACTTGAACCCCCTCTTTTAGATTCTGTGGGCATTGCATGACATGGGCGCACTTATATGCATACAGGTGTAACACTCATACATGTAAAAGTAAATAAGTTGAAAATAAAATAATTTTTAAATATTTATGTATTCTGTGTGTGTTCATGTATGTAATTCAATTCCTCTTAGCTTCCTAAAAATCTGAAAACAGACTGACTCCTCATTCTTGATTTTTTTTTCATTTTATGTGTATGAGTGTATTGCCTACATGTGTGTAAGTGTACCTGTGTTGTGCAGTACTTGAGAAGGACAGAAGAGGGTGTCAGATCCCCTGGAACTGGAGTTATGGACAGTTGTTAGCTACCATGTGGGTGCTAGGATTCAAACCCAGATCTTCTGCAAGAACAACCAGTGTTCTTAACTGCTGAGCCATCTCTCCAGCCCCCCATTCTTGGTGTTTTTAATAGGGAAAAATCTCATTATAAATGTAATGATTTTATGCTTTACTTGCAGTCTTTACCTGGTAGGCCACAGTATTTTTTCCCATCTTCATTGGTTGCAATGTTTCCAAATCCTTTTTTGTATGGGTCCCACTTCCTGCCAAAGTCAACACTACCATCTTGACGATTCTGTATTACTGTCCATCCTTTAGTTGAAGGAAAAAAGTTTGTCTAAGTTAACCAATAATGATATCACTCTGAAAGCAAAGCCAGAATCCATTGTCCATTCACTTAAGTTCTCTGAGTAGATATTATATGGAAATAACTATGAGAGAACTCCTAAACTATTTAGAAACGGGAGGTGCTGCATCGTACCCCAACTTATGAGTCACAGATCTTCTAAAACTTTTTAAATTCCAGATTGAATCCCATTTCAAATAGCTCATTGGCAGCTATGTTAGAGAGAGGCCTTGTTTCCTGGCATTCAAAATGGTTCCAGAATGATGGGCCAGCCACCATCCGATGCTTACCTCCATTTTCTGTGGTCATGTCACAGTATACTTTGTATGGTTTGGCAGAGGTATCTGGCTGGATGAGGTACATTTCAGATGTCTCACCTCCTTTCCTAATAATCTCCTCACATTCTGAAAAATAGGATTACATTGTGTTCAGGGACAGTGACAAAATGACAGTCTTTGGTTACTAATTCTTTCATATAACTGATTACATAGGTTACAAAAGACAGTTTTATCATAGACATCTGAGAATAAAAGTCTAGAAATTGGAGGTTCTTTTGACTGAAAATCAAACAGACTTTTGAGGAATTTTCTCAAGCCAATAAAAAGCCCCCTCTCAGCTTTATTTAAACCCTGGAATAGCTACAAACAAAACACACAAGATGAGGACACTCCTCCATCTTCCCATGGCTCTGCCATCTGTTCACACATGCACACGCATACACAAATCAGAGACTCCTGAAAATACCACCACTGTTATATTCCATACTGCTCATCAAACTTAGCCGAGCTGTCAGCCAAGACAGAATATAACATGCCAAGAATATTGTGTTAAAATATCATGATGCTCTGTTGGGGAAAAACTATTGACTTTTCAGTTCCTATAGTTAGTGAATGCGAGTTCTTCTTCTGGAACCCTATGGAAACGATTTTACTAACTAGGTACCTTTGCCAGACACCACAGGAATATTGCAGCTGACAGTGCATGGGGTGCGGCAGTAGTCCATCTGAGCCGAGATGTCAGATTCTAATTTTTGTATTTTGCTTCTCAGGTTTTCCAGGATTGAACGTAGTACACGAAGATTAAGTGGGATGTTATCATTCACAGTCTCCTCTATGTACAGCCTCTGGTCTTCCAGCAAGGAGGAGTATTCATTGATGACATTTTCATTATCTGGGAGAAACGAAATGATGTAGGAATAGTCAGCATTTTTGCCTCATAAAAAAGCGTATTTAACCATATAAATAAGATTCTTATTTTCTGAGAATGAACTAATAGACTTTGAACTATAATCAAGAAATCATGGTATACACTTGAATTTAGGAGATACGATTTGCTCACTTGCATATACAAATTGACATGCAGCCCACCTCCACACCAGTAATTACCACAGGCACAAGCTAAAGATTATGTACAGTAATAAATATAGCAGCATATTTGGGAATTCCATCTCAAAACATAATGTCTGCGAGCAGATACCCTTGCTTTGCCTATTGATGCCACCTAAGTAGTGCAGAGTCTTGGAATTCATGAAAGGATTTCGTGATTCTTCGGGTGTCCAGTCTTGGGTGAGCTACTCACTGGGAAGCCTGTGCAACACTCACACCTCAGCTAATTCCTCACCACCAAGTCAATGGCACTCAACACTTAGATGTCAAGATGTACACGGCACTGTTCACAAGTCAGTTTATATATCATTGACTGTTCTCTCACATTCAAAAACTCAACTTTTATCTTCTGAGTCACAAGACAAATTTGTTCCAGACTAAAGATAAGAAACCATGGTGAGGGGCTGCAAAGATGGCTCAGCAGTTAAGAGCACTGACTACTCTTACAGAGGACTTGGGCTCGATTCCCAGCATCCACATGGCGGCTACAAACCATCCTTAACTCCAGTTCCAGGGGAATCCCAAAGCCCTCTTCTGATCTCTGGCATTGCACGACACAGGTGCACTCACGTAAATGCAGGCAATACACTCATACACATAAAATAAAAATAATAAGCCAGGCATGGTAGTGCACGCCTTTAGTCCCAGCACTCAGGAGGCAGAGGCAGGTGGATCTCTGTGAGTTCAAGGCCAGCCTGGTCTACATAGTGAGTTCCAGGCCAGCTGGGTCTACAGGGAGACCCTGTCTCAAAAAGACCAAATTAATTAATTAATTAATTAATTAACAAATAAACAAATAAATAAAATATTTCTTAAAAAAGAAACCATGGTGAAATTCTTCATAGAAAGTCATTGTAGTGAATGTGACATTGGGACTAATACTTGAGTAGCATTTGTCTGGAAAATTAGAGATGAAGGTGCCTAAGCAAGGACCCGGGATAAGTAGGTAAAGACCAAAATCAGCATGAACAGTTTAGGTCAGTCATGAATGATTAACTGCATACTACTGTATTTTCATAGACAACTGGCCCAATTTTATGACGGAGTCAGAGGAAACTCCAAGGACAGCTACCTTTCACTTGTGCCTGCTTCTTTTTCCACATGTCTTTTAGCAGTGTCACATACTGGAAGGTGGTGGAAGAGGTCTGAGAAACAGAGTCTACGTTGTTATTTAGCTCAGCAACACTGAGTTTGGTTGGTCTTTCCTGTTTTAGCAAAGTTTCTTGCAACTGGCATCCTGTAGGACACAACACACCCTGAAAACAGAAAATAGCAGGCATTAGGGGAAGAAAAGACATTCTGGGTATTTGTTAAAATTCTGCATGAGCCAGGCATGGTGGCACATGCCTTTTATCCCAGCACTCTGGAGGCAGAGGCAGGCAGATCTCTGGGAGTTCGAGGCTAGCCTGGTCTCCATAGAGAATCTAGGCCAGCTGGGGCTACAGGGAGAGCCTGTCTCAAAAAAAAAATTGTGCATTAGTGAAAACTTAGTGATCTAACAAGTCAATATAAAAACTTGATATTTGATTTTCTTTATAGAAGGCCAGAAACTTCAGAATTATCACCATACTTTTATAAAGCATAAAAATAGTCTTCACCTAGGTTGCTTCCATCTCTTAGCTATTGTGAAAAGAGCAGCAACAAACATGGATGTACAAGTGTCTCTGCAATAGGATGAGTTCTTTGGGTATATGCCAAGGAGTGGTATAATTGGGTCAAATGGTAGGTTCATTTGTAGTTTTTTAAGAGTTCTCCACACTGCTTTCCATAGGGGCTGAACCAGTTTGCAGCCCCACCAGCAGTGGATGAGTGTTCCCCTTTCCCCACATCCTCTCCAACATTTGGTATCATTTGTTCTCCTGATCTTAGCTAGTCTGACTGGGGCAACATGAAATCTTAAAGTGGTTTTAATTTGCATTTCCCTAATTATTAGTGATGATGAACATCTTTTAAGATGTTTCATAGCCATCTTTACTTCTTTTGAGACTCTGTTGTTCAGCTCCTTAGCCCATCTTTCAATTGGGTTGCTTCTTGTTTTGGGTCTCTGTTTTTTAAGTTCGTTATATATTCTGGTAATTAAACCTCTATCAGATGTATCACTGGTGAAGATTTTCTCCCATTCTG